CTGTGTAACATCTCATGTCTGGACATTTCCAGCGAACTATCTGGGGAGCTAGCTACACCAAGCCCTCGTCTCTCCCGCCGTTGTCAAAACATCACTGGCGCTGATGCCGGGAAAAGTGACTAGCACTCATTGTTGCGCCGGGGGCTTCTGGTTTATCAGTTTGGGTGAGCAGTCATCGATCAAGTCCAGCCCCCATCTGATGTTACAACCATTCATTGACTTGAAAGGGCAGTTGGAGAGGGGTTTTGCCAATACTGCATTAGGTGGAAAGACAGCACTGCGCCCTAAGTGATAGAAACATGTGCTGGCGATTAATCGTAGATTCTAGTATCTAACATATCTAACACTGCAATAGTTTTAAACTTGTTACAAAGTGTCTCCCTTGAAGATATGCACAGGTTTACATCAAAAAGGTAAGTTCAATCGGCGTTCCGGTTTTACTATGTATTTAACAATTTAACTATTATGTTCCTTGCGAAAATGCCCTCACTATTTCCATATACAGACAGGACAATTAATCTATTTCAATCAAAATTGAACAAACTTCAATTTTTTTTTTATTTTTTTTTATTAAGTCCGAACACAACAGATTTTACAAACGTTTTACCACTTTGATACTTCAGACTGACGCTGTATGGAGGTATGCGAGCATGCCTGCAGTCATGCATGATTACACATATATTTTCTTACCTACACTCATACATATATATGTACTTACGTTAGTGGGTATGCATGTGTGAAATTATTATGGTTAAGTGAGTAATAAAACAGTGGTAACTGATATCAACAAGCTCATTAATTCACACGCATGACTAACCAGTATCCCACAGTGAGAGATATTCCATCCACACACTAGCCGGCCCAAACCACAATCGATCAGATTTTGGCAATAAGACAAGATCGAGTGAACTGCCTCATAGACTATTGTCCTGGTTCTGGTGTTTCGTGGGCATTCATGGCTTTAACAATGGCTACACAATTTTGTATTTGCTAGTAGTTTCCAGGGCTATGCTTTTGTCAAAATAACTTTTCCATTTGTTTTATATTTGCTGAGGTCTTCTTGTATCATACACGTTGATTGATATAAATATAATAAATAAACAGAGGGGGAACCCTTGAGGCCGTAGAAACATTATATATATATATATATATATATATATATATATACACACACACACACACACACACACACACACACACACACACACACACACACACATACACACACACATAAACAAGCATACAATGTATTGCTTATGACTCATAGAAGGAAACAGAAAGGTAGAACGACACACTAGAAATCATGATATATTTACCGTGCCGGGAATCGAACCTGTCACCTCCAAATGACCTGTGTGCGCCTCGCTATGGAACGATGATTGATATGTGTCATAATTAACATGCGGGACGGCTTCAAAGATGTCAGAAGAAAATTAGCCCAGCAATGTAAAGGGTACACAAAATTAACTCGTTCTATATCAATCAACAAGTCGTGTGCCCTTTTACATTTTTCATTTAGCCATAGAATATTAGAAATTGGCGCCAAGCTGGCAGCATCCGTTACCTTGTGCCAGACACGAGAGTATTGTAGTTGTTTTTGTGTGATAACTATGGATAAAATAAAGATTTGTTTGCGAAAAATTATAGTACTGAAAAAAAAAATGATTTAAGACCATGCATAGTCTCTCTGTAAAATTTCGGATCTGATCACGGATCGCTTTGCAGTTTAAAAAACAATGCAGAAATCAAATTCTTTTAAACCTAAATATTATAGAAAACCGTCCTGAATACCATAAATCAAAAAGAAAGAAAACAATAGACATTATGTATGATCTAGGTTAGAAACAAAAGTAATCAAAGATATTGTCTGGGTTGGAAACAACAGTAATGTGAGGTAAAATCTAGGTTAGAAACAACAGTAATCAAAGATATTGTCTGGGTTGGAAACAACAGTAATGTAAGGTATAATCTAGGTTAGAAAAAAACAGTTATGGAAGGTGTGATCTAGGTTAGAAAGAACAGTAATGGAAGGCACGATATACCTTAGAAATAACAGTAATGAAAGATATGATCTGCATTAGAAAGAACAATAACAAAAAGTATGATATACGTTTGAAAGAACTGTAATGGAAAGTATGATCTAGCTGATCTACGCTAGAAAGAACAGTAATGGAGAGAATAAAGAACAGTTATGGAAGATATTATTTAAATAAAAAATAACAGTCATGCAAAATGGCATCTATGTTAGAAATAACATTAATTGAATACATGACCTTCTTTAAAACGAATAGTTATGAAATGTGATTTTAAAATAACATGGAGTTATAACTCTTGAGAGAGGAGGTAGAAATCTCCCGAAATGGCCAGAAAGTAATTATCCCGTTCTAGTGGGCTGTAGATATACAGGAAGGTACACATTTTCTAAATTGAACTTCTCCAGATCGGTAATGCAATCAGTATTACAACAGTCATCTTTGTTCACATGCACAACACTGTAAATTTGATTGACCCAGGAATATTTGTGTCGGTTCAGTCTTGTTCACTGGAATCTGACAATAGAAACACTGAGGCTGGCAAGCTAATTCTCTAGTTACTTCCTATAATGAACGAATTGCTCCTTACATTTGTTTAAGAGAGGACCGCTTTGACACCAGTAGCACATCTGGGTTGGTCTTAATGGACGCTAGGTACGACCACTGTTTGGAGCCTTGGCACATTTTTTTTTTTTTTTTGCTTCTGCCAGACGGTGGCCGTTGCATTTCTCCTCAATTTGTAGACTGAACGGATATAGTTTCGTAGCCCAGCTTCTGAGTTGAGTGCATGGCGTGACACTGTGAGCTGCGGATTTCATTTGGAATGTTTTTCGACTGTGACCAACGTGGTGGTGTGAATTGAAGATTCAGAAAATGGCGCGATACCTGTTGTCGAAATATTGGTGGTTGCCATTATGTGATTAAAATTGATCGCGTGTGCTACTGCTGATCTGTTGGTGACTTCTGCATTCTCCATGATAAACTGCATTTCTAATGTCGGATTGTTTGTGTTAGCATTTCGGTTGGCTACCGTATGCTTTTAATGCGTGTGTATGCTAGCGCATGTGCTGAGACAGCAGTCTGTCAATCTTTCCACAAGGGACTGTGATAAACATTCTTTGTGTTTTTCGTTGGCACAGGAGCGGAGCAACTATGGGGTGACCCGTTTGCTGAAACTAAGATCACCGGATTACCAGATTTTGTATATTATCCTAGACTTATACTTTATAGACCAGTCGATACTCAGATGGTGATGTCTTTAACATCACGCTTGCCTCCTTTTCTACACATCACGGATGACCAGCTAAGGCTTGACTGACATGGAAGCCATGTCAGTTTTGAAAGAAACAAATTCTACGTGCAGATTTAAACGCAAGAGTTTTGGACCGGTGCGCAATCGCCTATCCACAACGCTACATGGATCCGCCTCTTACATGTATGACATGCATAATTTTGAGGGGAAAAAATTGAGTTATAATGGCATTTTTTAAACTGATTTAACAACATGACAAGTTGCAGTATAGGCCTTGAAGTAGGTACCATAGATATGCTCTTCAGTGTCAATTAGTAAATAGTCTTTTTCATCTTTGCAGGATACTCTCTGTGAATGTTTTGAATATTTGAAACATTTTCGGCCAGTATTTAACAAAACATCTGCTTCTTACTGAAAGAGCTGAAATACACCATCTGTTCAAAACTGTAAACTAGCCGTTACCCGATAGTCATACACCCACATTTCAAAGTCTATACGATGCAATTGTTCCTATCGAGTAACCTTACGCCATTTGTTCACAGCTACATATTAGTTGTTGTCTTCATTCCTCCTTTTCTACGTTTGGTACATTGTGTTGTTTACTGCTAGGCTGCGATATCTGCGCCTTTCAGGCAGCAGTCCAGTTTCTGCAATACCTTAATTATTCGCTGTTTACGAAACGACTGTTAAGAATGTGTTCCTTGTTGGCTTTTCCTAACAAAATATGACTCTTAAACGCACATGAGCATTTTGCTGTCTAGTTCATATACTATATATTCACAATATCACTTGCAGAACATAAGTTTCATACCAGCTGTGCCATTTAGTAGTCACAACTCTATGTTATTTTTTTTTAAACATGTTCACTATTTTTAAGCAGTTTACATGATCCGCTCTTTATTGTGCGTTTCTTTATCATTTCTGTACAGAAAACAACAGAGTGACATTGTCGGTCTAACTTTCACGCAGTTGAACGGAAGTCTTCACGAATGCTGCATGATCACAGACAATGATGTGCACATCCTACGAGGCTGTTGGCAATTACATTAAAAGAACTGACAGTTCATTGTTGTTTGAATTTTCTTTCCACTGAAGAGTTTCGCTGAGGGGAGATAAAAACCGACGTAACAACATTGGGTACAATCCCATAAGCAGCTTGTTCCTATCTTCGGCATCCAGCGCTGTGCTCCTATTCTGCTGTTACCAGTAGCCGTTCGGTTTCCTTCCACCGAAGAGAAGAAAGATAATCTGACAACGCACAGCTGTTGCCAGGGTATCAACACCAGGGGAAAAAAAGATATTTCTTAACTTCTACTGGAAACCCTGTGCCCATGAATCACGAGAATGATAACCAGTGAAAAACAGAGAATATATGTAAGCTTTGTAAGTTATTATAAACACACAAGTTAAAAAGTAATGCGACATTAAATGAACAAAGAAAGGGGGAAAATACAATCGCATTTAATTTGACAACAAAAACATTAGAGAGTATTTTTGGAAAACCAAAACAACCTGTTTGAATAATGAACAATCGACTTATGGAAAGTCACATTCCTCCTTTAAGCCGGACACACACAAAAGAAAACAAGCGTTTGAGTTCAAGTGGGAGAAATGTTGATGATTATGACGTTTGCTCGTGACCAGTTACGTCTTCAAATGAGCAACTAGTGTCCAGATTTTAGTTACTCCTACAGTCAAACACGTCCTACTTCGCAATGCGTGTTGCTGTCAAGTGCCTTTATCGACATAAAACTTTTTTGCTTGTAGCATTCATAGTCAGTCTACTGATGTTACTAATATCACTGACAGTATCCAGCATGTGTGGCCTTTTGATTTCTGCCCGCTCTGAATTTGAATGCAAAGTTAAAATGCAGATGAATGAGCTGTTTAGTTTTCCGGAAGTTAATGAAACTGAAATATTTTTAAGCACAGGAATTATTTCAGGAGATATGTTATTCTATAAATCGCTAATGAACGGACAGCTGACAGCTAAAAATGCTTCTTCTGGTAACCGTTTATTTTCGTTATTTCAGCCTGGACTTTCAAGCCATGAAAGGCAACTGATGTTAGTTTTGTTTCAGACACTCGTTCGGGCTTGTCTTAAATTTCGTTTGACTTTTTTTCTGTACGGTGGAACGTTATTAGGATCAATACGACACCATGACATCATTCCGTGGGATGATGACATTGATATTTTAGTCAATTCCTCAAACAAAAGTTCTTTGAAGCAAGCACTGTTAGCTACAGGTGACCAGTTTGGCTTGTACTGTCCACAATCTAAGTGGTGGAAGTTCTTTTGGGTAAAGTCAGACACACTTTCTCATAAACCCTTCCGCTGGCCTTATATTGACATATTCTTCTTCGCGGAAAACAAAACGCACATCTTTGATGAATCCCAAGACTACATGCGCTCATTTGCTTTTCTTAAAAATCACGTTTTCCCGCTCACCTACCGTCCATTTGCTGGGGCTATGCTTCCAGCGCCCTGCAAAGCGCAAAATATTATAGAGAACAACTACTCCCCAAGTCTATGTACATCTCCCAGGTTTTCTCATAAATTTGAGTTCGTGTTTCCAGATTACGCACACACAAGCGTGCCGTGTAAAAATCTGGAGACGTTGTACCCTTTTGTTTATAGGCGAGTTTCGGGAGATTACGTCCATGAATTTCTGTCTAAAGGGAAGCAGATAATCAAAACCGTTAGTTTACCCAAAACCTGTAGCTAACATACAAGAACCTCTAAGGACTGAAATGTGCCGGATAAGCAAATCAGTCCGTTTGGCTTTGAAGTTATTTTTGCTTCTGGCAACCGTGTGTTAAAACAGTTTCCACATTGGATTAGAGTCACGGTTTCATGTCTAAGCTGCTGAGCTAAGTGCTTGGTGTAGCACTCTGTGCTGTGTAATTCATGTAGAATGGCTTTCGTTTGTGCCAGCAGTGGTTGTGTCGTGATATTCGGAAAATGGTGAGAGGCCGGTTTGCGTTTCAACTGGTGATATGACTTATGCAATAATTATGTGTGAGTACGGTCAGTTTATTGTGATTTTCTACTTACTTCCGTACAAACTGCGATTCTGGGAGCAAGTATTGGTGTTGGCATCTCTGCCAGCTGCGTTTACTGCCTGTGCACGCTTCTGGATTTTGTCAGGCCTTATTGTTTCTCCACTAGTTTTCAAATAGAATAGTAATGGGCTGTTCGTGTGATTTTCACTGACAGGAGCACAGAGCAATTAAGAGGTGACCAGTTTTCAGTGAAGTTAAAACTTCGACTATGATAGCTATTACTTGATTGCTAAAAATGGTTAACGTTTGGTCAATTTCATTGTAAATGAATAGGTCAGCATTTTCCCTTACATCTGTACTGTAAGCATTTAGTTTTTAATTCATGCATCGTCTAGTGTATAGTAAAAAAAGATGCTCCATTGGCGGATTTAAAAAAGTTAATATCATTACGTGACTTCGCAGAACCAACGCCAGGGCTATGCTTCCGGTGCCCTGCAAAGTTCAAATGAATGTTGATAACTGTCATATAAGCTTTAAACAAGGTTCATTTGAGTGTTTTTTTTTTTTTTTTTTAATATATAAACAGTATATTGGTTATTTTATTGAACTAATAAAAACATTGTAAACATTATTGCTGGTATTTTCAGTTATTGAAATAACATGTCTGGTTCACATTTGCATTTCTCCATTTTGTTGTTGGATGTTCATTTTGCTTGGTATGTAAATATATTTCTTTCCATGAAATCGATCTACTCACAGGGTATAATGGAATGGACGCTTAGACTGCAAGTCCTATTGATGTATAAGGGCACTATATAGGCCATGGGGACGATGATATACATATGCGTTTTATGGTAGAAGAAACCATAGAGAAGAAAATTCCAAAGTTGTCCAATTATACGTTTGAATTGACTCGCGGTCCAATGTGGCAGATCGTCCACTTACTTCTCTTTGTTTGAGACCAGGGTTTGCTGATGCAAATTCTGCATTTCTGGACCAACCTGTACCTATGCTGTATTGCGTGTACAATGCTGGCTTCCCTAATCGACTGCTGCTTGCATCAACAGTGGGCTGCTATTCTGGTGTGGGACTATTAGTGTTGGCACATCTGACGGTTGCCTTGTGCCTTTACTTTGCATGTGCGAACTTCGGAATTTCACTGGGACTAATAATTTTATTTTATCTAGTAGTTCTCAAATAAGACAGAGAATAACATATTGTATGATTTCCAATGTCACGGGAAAGGAGCATTTATGGAGCAACTCACCAGCAGAGACACAAGAGCCTCGACTAACGACAACTAAAAAACTTTTAGCTTTCTTAATATCAGGTGTTGGCGTCTGTGACAGGCGTTGCGAAACCGCTTCGTAATGCCGGGGTGCAGGGTTCGATCTCAGCTGCGAGCCTTGCGCCTTGCGCTGGTTTCAACAGTGGTATCGAGAAGCCGAACGTTTAGAAAACAATAGCAAACTACTGGACGTAAATTTGCCTGAAAAATAAAAAGAAAAAAAAACACAACAGAAAAAAAAAATGCTACGATTGGTTTTGCATCTTTCTGTAAAGAATACGAAACTAATTTTAAATATCAGTTAAATCGCAGGTAAACGTTTAACTTACCCACGCTGTTCTAGTTGATGGACGCCGCGGCATTGAAGCCGTGTGCTCGAATCTCTATCCAGTGAGGAACATATCTGAGATGAAGGTCTGACCTCATCGTGTATCTGTGTCAAACTCACTATCTTAAGAGAGATTCCATGCAAGACAGCTCTATCAAACAACAATGGTAAAGAGGAGAAGAGTGGCGGGCCACGCGGATAGAATGCTGAACTCACATATAGGAGACTCGTGTTCAATTCTTGGTACGCGATAAAGATTTTTTTTCCGTCAGGTAAAAAAAAATGCACATTTGGTGACGCACCTGTCTCAAATCCTCAGTCTCGCTATCCTGCAATCCTACATTGCACTGAAAGTGGTATATACAGACAAAGAACACAGTTATAAATCTTGAGTGTTTGTGTGTTGAGTGACGTGTGTAGAGTGTTGTGTGTTCAGTGTTGTGTGTTTCGAGTTTTGTGCGTTTTGAGAGTTTTGAGTGTTTTGTATTTTGAGTGTTGAGCTAAGACCTGACATCACATCACCTTGCCAATTCCCATAAGACAGTTTTAACGAGATGTGTGCACTCATAGATGTTTCTGAGCATCGTCGACAGTCGTGGAAAACAGTGGCCAGAACCACTGATTCTAGCATTAGGTAACTAGGACAGAAAAAGCCAACGGAGACTGGGAGATTATAGACTAGTCAGTGTCATGTGTATTTGCTTCTGTGTCACAATGTATATGTGCTAGTTTGCTTTTATTTAAACCTTGAAGATCACATTTGATACCCATTTGACATTTTAATGTGTGTGTGCGTGTGTATGCACGCATGCTTCTGACTGTCTGTGTGTTTATGTGAATAGAGACAATCTAGGGTAGGGCAACATTAGGTAGATTAATTTTCTGTAGTAGAGCGGGCTGATAAAATCGCCGATCCCTCTAAACAACGCTGAAATAATAGGACACTGATATCGTGTGTTTCCCGAGATGGACAACTAGTTGGCACATTTTCTGTCTAAATCTTAAAAGCACTTGCCAGAGGCTCAGATTAATTATTGTAACGGAATAACATTTTTCGAAATCTTTTCCGAAGAATAGTCTTTTATAGTTGAAAAAAGTAAAAGAAAAAAATCAATTTTCACGCCTTTAGGCTCATCGGGCATATGGGAAGAGCACCCATATTTACACAGATCAATGGCCGTCTTTACTTCCCCAGGACATACATCCTGGTACACATGTTAGGCTGGGTCGACCTGCGACGCCCCATACCATGATAACATTTTACACACGTCATAGTTGTACTTACCAGTAATGTGTTTTTATTGAGTCATTTATTTTCAAATTGCTTATTTCTCCTATTTGACTCATTTTAATTAATAATTGATGACGGAGCATAGAACTTGGGGGCTGAAATTCACTGAGACCGCTACCCTAACAAAATAATACCAAACTTGGAGATAAGGCATCAGAGCTTGTAGGCTCTGTTACTTTGTACATCCCCCCCCCCCCCCCCAAAAAAATCATCTGTATTTTTAAAAGAAATTTCCAACATCTCACCCCCCCCCCCCACCACCCCCCCCCCCACGACCCCAATTTTTAAAAGAGAATTCCCTAACATCCCTATTTAATATTTTTTTCATATATATATATATATATATATATATATATATATATATATATATATATATATATATATATATATATATATATATATATATATATATATATATATATATATATATATATATATATATATATATATATATATATATTGCTTTTTTATTTAGCATTTAGCACATGTTATAATTATAATAATAATTATTTTTATTATTATTATCCAGTAATTTTTCTAGAGTGGGAGCCTCAAAGGGTTTTTGACTGGTTTGACTACGCAGTGCTACTCTGCGACTGTATTACTACTACTCGATTACTAATAATAATAAAAGTAATAATAACAAATTCTTTTATTGTTGCACAGTCAAACAAGGCTTAAGCGCCCCCCCCCACCCCGAATATAGTAAATCGTTCCACATTACTTTTACCTGGTACCCATTTAAGGAGGGGTCGACCTGGGAGCAAAGGTCATTTTTAAAGGAGGTGGGGGAGTCCAGCTCTGTTCGGATCTGAATCCACGACCTTTCGATCCGCAGGCGAGCTTTTAGTCCCTACACCACGGCAACTCCAATGTGTTTGTTTAAGACAATAAATATCTGTCCAGACGCCCTCCTCGGGGAAAAAAAACACCACGAAAATAGAACGCTAATATTCTTGTTTAGATTGTCAATATATTTAATGGACCGACTAACTTGTTTCCGCTGAGTGAGATTGAGGAGTGGCAGAACGCCGAAGAACAGAAGAGTGGACTCTAAAGATTTGTCCGTTAAAACGCCTGTCTGGTGGAATCTCTCTGCGAAATTCTTGTGGGGCAAACTGAGTGTAGCCAAGAAAGATTCATCGCTTATCTCCCTCGCAAAGCCCAGTCCGACCAGAGATATATATACAATTAGAGAAAGGGGACAACTTCGGTCTCCTGCCCCAGATCGTTTGAACCCGCCCTGGGTATAAATGGACGTTCAATTGATTTTGGGGTGTTGAGATTAGATTTTTTTTTTTAATCGATGATGGCAAGCCTGCAAATAGAAGAACGCGAGATCTAGAACACAGGCTGCTGCTATTATTTCCTAACAACTCTAGGGAATATACAATTGTATATTATTGTTACATTGAATAATAGCGGGGAAAGAAGCCATTTCAGTTTAATAGCTGATCTAAACGTGGCAAAAAAAGCGGCTTTTTTCACTGAGCTCATTAGAAACATTATCGCCATGAGTGTGTTGGTTTGTTGAGTTGCACGGGGAACAAAATATAACGCTAATATGCATATTATAAAATAGCTTTTTTTAACGTTATCTTCCAAAAGAAGGGTGGCCATAGCAAGGCAAAGATTAAACTTTAAACAGCCTTTTAAAAGTCTTAGGTTAAGCAACAGCAAGGAGATCAAAATAAGAATTTGGAGAGCATGCATTTTCCCTGTCGCAATATACGGATGTGAATCGTGGACTATCTCCCAGTCCTTAAAAAAGAGAATAAGGGTTTTTGAGCTGAAATGCTATAGAAAGATTCTCAGA